TATTTAAACAAATATAAAGCCTAACAAATTAACTGACATATGATATCACACTAGCCATACAAATAAATCTGTTAATAACATACTAATTATATTTCCATATAAGCTTTATCTCATCCAATGCATTTGGACTCAAATCTGTCATGATGTAGTATTTCAAATGACCAACTGATCTGATTTTGTTGTTAATTCATGCTTGATCTTCTTATCTTGTTGGCCTAACTTTTGGTTTGAATTTGTTGACCTCAAGCCTCCTTGATCACTCAAACTCTCTCTACTGATTTTGGAATTATTGTGAGAATACCCAACCTTATCACTCTAAAAATTTTGGGTCTCCTTATATCTCTTTTGATTCTCATTATTCCTTTTGTCAAGCTACGAAATATTGTTAATATCCTCCCTCAAACTGTGTTGGGGTTGAAGGCAGAATTTGGTCCGGAAATAATTGAGAGATGCTTTGGACATCGGTCTAGTAAAAAGGTCAGCAACCTGGTCACCAGTAGAGATATGTTGAGTGATAAGTTGACCAAGGGCAACGCGCCCTCACACAAAATGATAGTCCAATTCGATGTGCTTACTGCGCGCATGAAAAACAGGGTTGACAGTCATATGTAGAGCATTGAGATTGTCACAGTATAAAACTGGAGAAGAGGACAATGCAATTCGAAGATCTTTTAAAATAAAGCTCAACCATGTCAATTTGGTGGCAGTATTTGCCATGGCCCGATACTCAGCTTCGGTACTTGAACGAGAGATAGTATATTGTTTCTTTGCAAACCATGAGATGAGATTTTTCCAAGATAAGTGCAATAGCCAGTGGTAGACCTTGTTGTAGTAGGACAACTTGCCCAATCTGCATTTGAAAAAGCACATAGATCAAGTGTAGTATTAGAAGTAAAATGTAATCACAAATGAATAGTTCTTTTAACTTATCGAAGAATACGTCTTATCATTTTCATGTGAACTACAGTGGGTGCATGCATAAATTGAGATATATAATTTACACTAAAATGTTTCTCTGTAATCAATTCCATCAATTTGATGATTTCTTTGTGCGACTAAACGAGCCTTGAAACGATCTAGTGTCCTATCAGGTTTGAGCTAAAAACCCTAAGTGAAGAATATATAGGATGAGTTTTATGCAACATGAAGTATGGAGTTTCAAAATTAACCGATGACGATGGCAAACAATTCATAAGATAGATAGCTATAGTGAAGGCTTCTACCCAAAGGAAGAGAGGAGCACCATACTAAAAAAGCATGGTCATTCCTAATTCCCTAATAATTCTATGATGTCATTCAACAAACCTGTCTGTTCAGGAGTATATGAACATGAAATTTGATGAACTATGACAGTTGTCAAAAAACGGGTTGTCAATCTAGAGTTAAGAAACTCGCCTCCACCATCTGAATGAAAATTTTTTATTTGTTTATTGAACTGTCGTGCCACGTATTTTTCAAATGTTAAATATGCATCAACAAAATAAAATTTATGTTGCAAAAGAATAATCCATGTATACTTAGAAAAATCATCGACTAGACAAGCATAATATCCAAATTTTCCAATAGATAAAACTAGTTATGTCAACGAGTCGAGCTGAAAAAAAAAAAGCTCGGGCTTGGCTCGAGCTTTTTTGGCCGAGCCTTTTTCGGGTCCGAGCCGAGCCCGGCCAAAAAAAATAAGGCTCGGCCCGAGCTTTATCGGGCCAAGCTGGGGCTCGATTTTTAATTTTTTTTCTTGTTGAAACGGATATAAAAGTGATAAATATAGTTGTTAGGTATATAATGAAGGTATTTACATTTGACAAATTTAGTTTAATTTTTTAAAAATTAATTTTAAATTCTTTTTTATTAATCGCATTTTTAGTTATATTATGTTTTAGAGAATTCTATATATTAGTAGTTTAGTTGTCTTTATATCTTAGGAAATAGTGGGGATAATTACCTCATTGATTACTGAACTTTGTGAAAGGTTTCCAGAAAGTCACTAAACTTCAAAAGTTTTCTTGTTAGTTACTGGACTTTACAAAATGAGAACTTCAAAAGTAATAGGGAATAACGTTTGATTGTGCTTAAAACTTATTCATTAGAAAAAGTAAGTTCATCGGTAAAATAAATATTATGAAAATCACGTTGACAAAGTAAATAATCACCACATAAAAAGCTGTAAAAATCCAAATGAAACAACAAATACCACACCTGCCCATCTAAGAGGAACCCGGCAACATCAATAACAGAAGCGAACTCTTTAGGAAGCAATTCTGGCTTGTTAACCCCAACCTTTCCATCAGCAAATCCAACTCCTACAATGTTCACATTATCAAATTCACCAGAAAAAAATAT